GTTTGGATGCGGGGAATACCTGGATACCTCAGAGAGATCCAGCAAGAACAAAGTGTTTCTCTGCTTCTGGTTCCGAGGGAGGCTGGGCTGGGGGTGGGTAGTGTGTGTGTGGTGGGGGGATTGTTACCAAGCATAGATGCCTCTCCAGACCCCTCTGCCTTCCAGGAGGCTGGGATAACATCGTAAGTCCCTGCCAATGCCGGCCAGCCCCACTCCTGTGCTGGCCCTGACACCTAGCTGTTGCTGCTGTTCCAGGGCCATCTCAATACTGGGAGATCCTGTTTCCTTTCCCCTAAGTACTGTCACACAAATCAGCTCTCTTCCTGCCATTCTCCTGCCTTTATTCCAGTTTCTTCTCAGCCACTTGCTCTCCTCACCCCCTTTCTTCTCTCCTCTTTGCAACACTGTCCCACCCTCTGCCTGACTATGTCTGTCTGTGTGGCTGTGTCAACATTTCCATATCCTCCTCGTGGGGCACTGCTCTTGTGCCACAGAGAAGCCACACAGCCCTCCAGCCTCAGTGTCCACCTGCCTGGAATGCAGAGGCCATAGTCTCCAAATAGGTTCAGGCAACTGCTCTGTGGCTGACTGAAAACCAGGGTGACTGGTCCCTTCCTCACCCTCCCTGGGAGGGAAGAAGTGCCCATGCCAACCTCTGAAGCTGGTTGTCTCAGGCTCTGTGTCCTTAGCAGCTCCAGCCACTGGCTGCTGTAAGGAAGCCCCTTCTGAAATGACATGGCATGACATGATATCGCTTCCATCCCTGCTTCTAACTGATCTCAGCTGTTACAGGTACAAGGTTCATGTGCCCGATGCTTCAAAAGAAAGGCCAATATTCAATAAGTTAGAGTTTGGAGTAAGGAAAGGTTTATGGAGAAGGCCCAGCTGGAGAAGATGGGAGTACCTTATAGCTCCCACAAATCCATTTTATGAGAGTCTAGAATTCAGGTGTCTTATTGTCGAGGGAAGGGAGGAGGGGCAAGGCAAGAGGTGGGTGAGGGCTGTAGACATCTATACAGTTGTCTCCTGTTCTGGAGACTCAGGTAAATTTTTGAAAAAACAGTCATTATTTTGTGCATATTTCCCCACCACTTTGAAAGGGACCTTCTGACTGGAGCTACTCAAGCCTCTGGCAAGAATTCTTCTAGTTAATTAACATATCCATAGCAGGAGCTAATAGCCTGAAGGCCATCAGAAAAAGGCAACATTTCATTCTATTACACACTGTCTTCCTCATTTGGAGCTAGACTGCCTCCACAGTCCAGTTAAGGCAATGTTTTTCCTCAGTATGTGTTTATGTGTGAGTGTGTGTACAGGGGTGCATGTTTTATGAGGAGGATAGGAAAGACCTATTGACCCAGGTTACTTATGTGCTGGCCACTGGAGGAGTTCATGGACTCCTTCACAGGGGCCCACTTGAAAATTTGACAGCTGAAAAAAACTTACAGGCTCTAAAATAAAAACACTGCAAAATTGAAATAAATACATTCTTAATCAAATGTCCAATTGTAAATTATATCAACCTCATTCATCGTTAAATTTAGTACTCATAAAAATTTCATTACATTTCAAAAATGTATGGGCTAGGTTTTTTCTCATTTGACAAGAATTTCAGATTTTAATTTAAATCAATTAGCCAAATGGTTTTGTGGTAGGCAGTAGACAGACATGAGTAGAGCAAGGACGATGGGTGAGGTACAGATCAACAGGGTGGAAAACCTCAGGCACCTGGCAATGAACAAAACTGGGAAAACGAGCACCTCACCCCCAGGGTAATCTTTTCTCCCCTAGCATATTGCTGGTCAGATGGTTTAGACCCCCTGACCTTTCATATCACTGGTCATGCAGTGAGATACTTCCCTGACTTTTCCTTCCTTGGTATGTTGCTAGTCATGTGGTAGACCCCCTTGGAGGAGGAATAAGGGGCCAAAGAGTGGCTTCATGGGACTCCCATGTGGGCCCTTGCACTACCACTCCCTTAAGCATTAACCCCTAGGCCTCAGTTGTGTTTCAGCTCCAGAACCAGAAAAGCAGCAAAACCAGAGGAGGGATGCTATGGCTGGCCTCAGGACCAGCTGCATTGACTAATGACCTCTTGCCCTGGCTATGACCAATCAGTGGAGACCACCACCCTGAAGGGACACACCTGGAAAGCTGATGGATATTCTATTGAGACCTTTCCCTGGGACCTCCCCTAAAATCCTCACCCGTAAAAGCTCTTAGGATGAAGGACCCAGTGCACTCTTCCAGAGCACACCTGAGCCTTTCCACTCCCCCTCCTCTTTTGCCCCCTGTGCCTTACCTTTACCTTTCTCTTTCCTAAGCTCCAAGGGCCCTTCTTTTGCCTCTGTAACTTGTTTCCTAAGCCCATTTCTTCTATTGCTCACTTCTTTTACCTCTGACTTTCTAAATAAACTTTCTCTTATAGTTTGAGTCTTGGCTCTGAATTCTTTCTTAGCCAGAACTCAAATACTGAGGTTGCTGAACCTAGGTCCAGTCTGACTCCACCAGTCTAACACCTGGTGCTGTTCTCATCACCAACAGTTTCAAGAGCAAAATTATAAATATCCTTTCAAAAGTTTTACAGCAGATTTTGAATATTTCAGTACATTTGCACTGATGTGGGGTGAAGTTGCCAAAAATAAAAATGCCAGGGCTTATAGAGGTGCCAAAGTGGTCCTTTGTATCAGGGTGAGGCAGGAGCCTGGAAATTGTGAGGCTGCTGGGGTAGGGTGGAAATGGGACACAGATAGGCCTTAGGGGATAGGTGGGAATGGTGGTGATAATGGGGAGAAGGAGGGGTGGTGTCTCCTCCTCACTTCCCAGCAGGGAGTACTCTAGGCTACTCTGTCACCCCTCAAGTTGGGGTGCAGGGGCTTCTCTAGACTTATAGGGTATGGAAAAAAAAAAAGTTCTATGCAAAGTAACCTAACAGGGTGATGTGATTTTAAATTTCTAACTGGGCAGGCCATGGTGGGTAGTCTTGCTCTAGGCATATAACTTCTTTAGTGAAAGGTTTATTTTTGCCTTAAGCAAATCCTGCCCATTGTTTCTGTGCATCTAGGTTAACACA